GCTCTCGGCGACATGTATTCCATAAGAGGGTGGACAACGGCTGTAATCTACATTTGTATGGCAAGTAAGTCTCTTTGCTCATATACGCCATGCTGTTAAAGGTTGTGTTAATACAAGTGTTATTGTGAGATAATGAGGCAGTATCCAGTGAACCAAGTGAGAGTCAGGGTAGAACCGGGTAGGAAGAATGTACAGTAGCAGACGATGATAGGAGTGCAGTTCAGGTCACCTCCCCTTCACAACTAGGACGGTAGAATGAGTTTAGCGAGATATGCATGTAAACCGATAAGAGCAGGCCTTTTTCTTAATGTATTATGATTGTAAATAGACAAGTGTACATAGTGGAGAATGTACGCAGGGAGTTCTGATTCGTCCATTAGTAACCATCCTGTCCTCAACCCAGCCCGAGCTTCCCTAGCCAAGACAGCCGACGGCAGCCGAGTGCAACGTAGATGTTAGCAAACGAGTAATCACCGACGAAAGTAATTATAAGTTCTCACCCCCTCCCCCTGAGGTGTAACATTCCCCCCTTCAAGTTCGTACTAATTTTGTCCAATGCTGTTTCTTCTTTGTCGAAGAAAGGGAGAAGCAAATGTGAACGAAATAAGACAAGAACATATGAAAAGAAAAGTACAATTAAATAAGCCTATGTAAATACAAAGAGAACAGCATACGGCAGAACTGACCTGAGGAAGTACTTCCCGAAAGCGGCTGATGTATTTGTCTTGTCTCTGCATTTCTGCTGTCGCCATGTTTGTGTGGTGCTCCGTCCCGAAGGCGAATGAAGTCTTCCTGTAACAAGATTCAGAACTGCTTTCGTTCTTATCGTACTCGGTTCGAACTTAGACGGCAGCGCAAAAGTATCTGGTATGGTTTATGATTATGTAGGTGTGGAACTATACATCAGACGCCACATGTTTAGAATCTTAAAAAAAAAACTCCGTGGCTTTCGCCCGCAAGCCAACTATACCGACCGAGCGACAGCCGCTTGTCAAAGAAGTTAGTGCCAATTTAGCGGATAGAGGGTGTCGCGTGGTGAACGCAACGAATCCCCACGGCCGTTAATCTCGGTTTTCTAGACCGGGGTCGTTATCTCCTTGAAATAGCTCCTCGGTTATCCTCACGAGGCTGAGTGGACCCCGTTCCAGACCCACTATTTCTCAGAAAATCTGGTAGCGCCGGGAATCGAACCCGGACCTCTGGATCTGTCGCCAGGAACTCTGACCACTAAACCACAGAGGCGGTCCTAGAATCTTAACACCCAGATAAATTCAATCTTCAGTTTCCTCAGCATCTCGAAACACGTCATGAATTAGTTACAATACCCTCGTCACTCTACGTGTGTAATTATATAATGTCCTTATTAAAGAAGCTATCACTTGCATGCTCGTGTCGGTCTCTCGAAAACGGGTTATGGTATTTCCTCTTTGAAGTCTGTTCATTTTCCTGCTATAGGTGACCTTGTGTCAGAAGCCTCTCAGCTTCTCGTACAGGGGAATTCCCCGAAATATACAGCAGACAGTAATGGCTTGCGGGATACTACTTTGCTCCGAAGGATCCTATGGCAAGCTGAGTTGATGTGGTATGCTACCAAGCATTGATTACATGCTCAGGGTTAACCTGTTCCAAACAAGTTATGCCCACTTTCTGTGCACAGAGCACGAGATGAAAACGTGTGTAGGAAGGTCATGCCTGTCCTGTCCGGCGTCCCATCCTCGTACGAGTGACTCAACGGAATTCAGTGCGCTTTTAAATGGATGTTGTTTTTACTTTCCTGTAATCGGTAATAAGATTGTGACTGAGAGGACATTGTGATTAGGAAGTGACGCACCATTACCGACATGCCGATACAATTGTAGCCATAGGCAGAATATTAGCCTTAGCACAGATAGGAATATTTTAACAATAGAAACGACAGTAATGACGCCAAACAAAATAAGCATGATAACGTATTCTACTAGAGGTGTTGGAGGTATGATCCCATGCATTCTTGATCTCTGTGCTGTATGGTGGCGAATGGTTAGCTTCAGACCCTGGCCGCTTTAACCCCAGAGATAAATAGCCCCGGTACTCTCCGTTATGTAATTTTCTCCATTCGTCTCCATAATGAGTCATATACACATCAATATTTTGTTTTTCAACGTGTTTTTCTTTTGTTGCAGGTGGTAAGTCCCGAACACATGTTACCGTGGTAACTACAATCAGAATTGGAAGTGCTGATGGTGGCTTTGTGAGTGCAATATTCAACATTACCTGCAACGTATTTGCTTTTCTCTGTTTGATAATTTGCATTATTCGATTGCTTTTATTCGCATTTTAAAATACTTGACATTTCACGCACCTCAGTAGAATAAAATGTTGAGATTAATAATTAATATGCCAGCAGTAGGGTCTTCGAAAGATCGGTTTACGGGACTTGACGTGGCTAGGGTTAGTCACCTTCGATTTAACTTAATAAATACGGGCTTGATTAATCACAACATGACTGAAGCAATTATACTATTTCAGAGCTAATTTCATTTGAAGAAATATTATACTTACATTTCCATGGAAATATAATTTCTGTTTTTTAAAAACCACGAATTCTTCCTTCGCGGCCTTTAATCGACAAGCGACCGAGCGACCGCCGCTTGTCGGCGAAGTTAGTGCCAACTTTTGCGGGTAGAGGATGTCGAGTGGTCAGTGCAACGTATTCCCATGGCCGCTAATTTCGGTTTTCTAGACCGGAGCCGCTACTTTTTCAGAAACCATAAATAGTTAGTTTTAATTAATTGATGAGTGATTGCGTGATAGGCACTGCCTAGGCCATCTTTATTATACATTTATTTCTTGCAAAATTAAAAAAAAATCTCAAACGCGATACCTCGTATATAACATGGAAATGATTAATTATGATTTTATACCAATTTCCAATAACTACAAAATATAAGTGAAAAAAGTATTCTCTAATCAAAATAAGTATAATATTATTTCGCGTATGCTAAACTACTACATATTTAATTAATGGTGGAAGACCTCCCTTAAAGAACTGTCGTTTATTGAGATGATGAGAAAATATCTCGCCCTTTTATGGAATTCGGAAGTTTCATTTTCGTACTCACAAGAACCTCCCTCATTGCTTCCTATTTTGAGCCAGATGAATTCAGTCCATATTGTCACACTATATTTCGCTAAGATTCATTTTAATATCATCATTCCTTCTATGCCTAATTTCTTTCCTTTCTGGCGTTCCGATTAAAATTTTCTAAGCATTTTCACCTACTCCCAACATAGTACAGGCCGACCCATGTTACCAAACTTGATTGAATCACATTCATATTATTAAGTAAAGAACGAATTATTAATATCTTCATTATTAATTTTTTCCAGGCTCTTGTTGCTTCTTCCTCCATACTTTGTTCTCAAATATACTCAATTCACCCAAATCAGAGGCATATTGTAATATTTTATAAAGTGTTAGTTTTTCAAAAGGAGTCGTTAGACCTCATGCCCAATCCCCAATTTGGAAGAGCACCCCTCGCAAACTTCGTGACTTTTATGCGCGATAATTTTGTAATTCCGTTCATCATTAAATTCATATTGCACGAAAATACGATTTGTTTTCTTTATGTATGGAGACCGGCCGCGCTGTCGCCATGCTTGTTGGCCAACGGACCCACTTAACATGGAGTTTCTCACTTATATCCTCTTTATAAAATAATAATCATTGGACATGATAAATCGTTTTGTGTAAACTTAGAATGTGAGGTTATGTAAAGTCATTAGTCCGCCATTTTTTTCTAGGACAGAAAACGTTAAACAAACTGAACATTGCAACAATTGTAACCATGGTTACGTTAAAAGAAGTTAAAAATGCGTTGCTTGACATTTTATATCACTTAATTCCAGGGGCGTAGGGTACATGGATGTGGTGGAAGCATTGCTTCCCTATAGAAAAGCAACCAAGAACATTTCTGGCAATTTTTCAATTTCAAAAAAATATTTCATACTTCAAAATATTAATTAATCTGAGAACATATATTACATATAATGAGAATATTGCAAGTTTTAATGTGTTACATAGACAATTTATCAGGATAGATCAGTTATTTTCTTCCAAAATGCAGGGAAATTTAAACTGCAACACCCGCGGAAGCAGCAGGTCTTTCGCTTCCACCCTCCCCTGGGTTAACTGGCTGACTCAATGTCAGTGTTGTGTGTAAGTGAGCTATGCGCTATGGTATGCTACCAGCTTCGTGCTTCCAGCAATGTTGTCAGATGTAAGGCACAGTTTGCAGTAGAATAATCTGTGACCTTGCAGTTAAGCGTGCTTACTAGAAATTCGCAGAACCAGGATAGGTTGTCATCACTGGCTTTGATGAACATTGAAAAGTCCTTCCTAAACAAACTGCAGTCCAAACCCATTTTTCTAGATGAGGTTATTGATCTGTTTGCCAAGAAAAACAGAAGAATCGAGCTGAATTATAAACAATAAAGTAAGCATTAATTATATTCCAGGTTCACAGCCCTCTCATTTGATGGCTATAAAATTGTGTTGATAATTATGTGTTATTTTAATATATTACCTTAAATTTAGAATACATATTAAACTATTAGCTGTTTTCTTTTAAATAGAAGATAGAAACTATAGGATATGTAGAAAAAAGTTATATACACGTATATAAAGTTGCTTCCCTGCTTTCGGTAGTCATGCTACGCCACTGCTTAATTCCTACATAAGTGTGAATATTAGCGTATTAAAGGTAAAAAGAAACAAAAATAACTTCAAGATTACTTTTCTACCTTTCAGTCTTATCCCAGAACGATGTCTCGAAACGCACATTAACCTGACAGTTGACAGTGTTACGTTGTTGTATCCTCTTAAAAAACACGAAAGGGTCTCACATCGTAACAAATGCCGACCGATTAGCTCGAGTTGTTCTTTCTAACTGACACATATTGTGTGTGAAGATACTTGCCTTACCTAAGGCCATCCAGCCAACTCGGCCAGTTTATGTAACGGTGAATCCCGGGATAAAAGCACTCGTGAGATCGAGACGTAGATAGGACAGTGTAAGATGAATGTTAAATAAATATATTGTGAAGCTGTGGATTGGATTCAAGAGGCTCAAGATAGGGAACAGTGGCAAGCTGCTGCGAACACTGTAATGAATCTCCGGGTTCCATAAAGTGCCCGTAATTTCTGAAGTAGCTGAGCGACTATTAGCTTCTTAGGAAGGACTCTGCTCTGTGAAGTAAGGCTTCTTTTTCACATGTGTCTACGAGGCGTCTTAGAGAACCATTCATTTAAATGGAGCTGTTTTCACACAGCTACACGATTAATTATTGTTTCACCAAGACGCACCACCAATGCTAGTGGAAAAGGAGCTTTTGTAATGATTCGCTTAGTGGGGTGTGGAGTGCAACTGGGTCCACTCGGCACGGCGGCCACTGATTGGCCTATTGTAGCCTTTCCCGGGTGATTATGATGATGGAGAATTTGGTGGAATGGAGATTGGCAGGGGAAACCGAAGTACTCGGAGAAAACCCGCCCCAGCGCCACTTTTTCTACCACAAATCCCACTTGACCAGACCCAGGATCGAACTCGTGGCGCCGCGGTGGGAAGCCAGCGACTAACCGCTTGAGCTATGGCGCGGCCTGACAATATGATTAGTCTCAGCTGCTAGAGTGTTGTGAAAGTGGACTTTTTGATAAAATTCGAATCCTCTTTCCTAATCTTTCTTTTACTGCATTAGTAAATTTTGATTTCTTAATTTGAGTGTCTCTCCTTCTATAAAGATTTTGTTTATTGTGATATTGACATGAAAAGGGATAAAATCCCGGGCGAATAATGAGTAATTCTGATGGCATTAACAGACAATTTAATGAACTGTTGAATGGATTGATAAGATCGTGTTAAAAAGTTATATTCGATGGGATTCGCTCCATGCATGTCTTAAATATCGACAGACGGTTGCTTACAATGATAATATTGTTAATCATGAGCTTGTTTTTTTTTCCCTTGGGATGGGGTGAGACTGAGTCCACTTGGCACGCCGGCCACTGTTTGACTTAGGGCGATGACACACGGAGCGGTTGTGCCGACTCGGCGGCCGTGTCAGAAACTGCTCAGAATGTATTCAGTCTTTGGAGCAAGTCATCAAACCGCTCGCTGCACCGCCTGTAGACGACAGACCAAGTCGGCAAATCTGCCGCCTGTCGGCGAGCACCGCCTTGTCTGTTTTATCCCATCTGATGCAAAAGAACTACGCGCCGAGTCGGCGAAAACCGCTCCGTGTGTCATCGCCCTTACTGTACCAGCTCCGGATTATACATGATGACGAGTATGAAGCGGTCGGTGGAATGAGAATTGGCAGGGGAAATCGAAGTACTTGGAGAAAACCTACCCCAGCACCACTTTGTCCACCACAAATCTCACATGACCTGACCTGGGATCGAACCCGGGCCGCCACGGTGGGAGGCCAGCGACTAACCGCTTGAGCTATGGCGCGGCCTCAACCTGGCTGCCTTAATCAGGTTATAACTTGAGTTGCATACGAAATATTGTGCAGTATAACGTTATGTCATAAAAATACGTTTTTGTGGTTACCATCAAGTGTCTCTAATTATGGAACAATAGCAGGTGTCAGCTTGGCGTTAGAGTGGCTCAGGTTAGCAATCGCTCCCCATAATGACCCTCAGTTCGAAGTCTCGTTAGAACACGACCACATGGAAAATCGAGAAGGATAGGTGAAGATACACGTATATGTAGTCGTTATAATGGCCAAGTCCGTCTGTCCCATGCTGTATAACCCAATACGGCGTTATCACAGAAATAATTTATAAATATAAAAAAAAGTTATTTCAGGGACAGCTCCCTGTATCATGACCATGAGTACGTAAACCTCGTACGTTTTGTAGCGACCGTGACAAAGAGACACGTTTACAGTACTTTACGACGTGATGTTTAACAAAAACAATCCCTGAAATTGCTGTGAAAGTTCATTTACACGGGGACAACATTAATATTTATCTTATAATAATGTGTCTTGAAGGCCAGAAGTGGATGAACTGCGTTAAGATCGTGTCAAACGGCGGGCTTTGGTATTAACGTTGTTGAACTTTCTTATAGTGCTACCATTGATTAACTAATTGTTAAGTTGGATCTTAGGGCCATAAGTTACGAGGATGGGAGGTGGATGGAATTGGATTAGGATTGTATTCAATGTCGGGGTTTTGTATTTGTGATGTTGAATAATCGGCTACTTCTACCAGAGAGTTATTTATTTACATAATACCATTTATGAATCTTATTTTTCCGAAAAGTGGGATTGATACGGGGTTAAAACAGAAGGGGATATACAAAACATCACTGATGATCGTGGTGTAAAGACCGGTCAAGGCATTGATTCATTCATTCATGAATCTTATTTCCTCATATTGAAAATTAATCTAAAATAATATGAGAGTTTTGTAATATTTTACGGCTTATGGCTTAGTGTCCTGACAAATTATCTAACTGTTGAGTGGTATGTTAAGCCATTTTTTCACCCACACAAAACACTGCACGTGTAGCGCCTCAGCCATGACATTGTACTGAACCTCAACACGGCATTATGCCTGTTTGTATTCTTTTCCAGAACCTGTTTGCATAACAAAATAGCTTTATGCGAGTCTACTGTAGGTTACATGTAAATTACTCGTATATTTCACCTGACGGAGAAGTAGAATTTTAATCAGAGTTGAAATAGTGTCATTAAATAAGCTAAGAACAATTACTTCTCGTCGTATTAAAATAAGTGCATGACAGAAATATCGATCTTATTAAGATCTGTAACTTTAATTAGAAATCTTTTACGTATACACAAAATTGCGTGACGCAACTAACACTATCTCTATCCAGGAGAAGGTGAATTGAATTGAATTGAATTGAATTGAATTTATTTACATTCTATAAATCCTAAGCAGGTTAGTACCTTTGGATACAGAACAAGTCAAAATGTTACATACATAAGTACAGGCAATTTTAGCTTAAAAATTAATATAACTTAATTTTACATCATTCTCTATTTACATTGAAGTATTCATCTAAAGAGTAGAAGGAATGAGCATGTAGATAATTCTTTAACTCTGATTTAAACTTTTTAGTATCATTGCCCAAGTTTTTAATACTTTGTGGCAGATTGTTGAACACTTTTATGCCAGTAAAGTAGACTCCTTTTTGATATACTGATAAAGTTGATGAGGGTAGGTGGAAGTTGTATTTTTGTCTAGTATTCATGTTATAGACATCAGAATTTAATTTGAATTTATCTTTGTTGTAAACAACAAATAGGAGAAGCGATAATATGTATTGCGATTGAAGCGGTAGAATTTTTAATTTCTTAAATAATTCTCTACATGAATCTCTACTTCTACATCCTGTAATGATTCTAATTATATTCTTTTGTATTTTAAAAATTATTACACTATGTGAAGAGTTCCCCCAAAATATTAATCCATAGTTCATAATAGAATGAAAGTAGGCATGGTAAACCATCTTCAATGTTTCCTGTGACATAAAAGGCTTAATTGATCTCATCGCATAGCAAGCTGCATTTAATTTAGGTATAATTTGTTCAATATGTATTTTCCAAGACAGTGTACTGTCTACATGTATTCCAAGGAATTTTGTATCAAGTACTTTACAGATTAATTTGTTGGCATAACTGATGTCCAGATCAATTTGGTGGTTGTTTTTAGTTGTGAATGATATGTAATGGGTTTTATCAAAATTTAATGAGAGTAAATTGGCTTCGAACCATCTGTTTAAGGCTTCAAATACAATATTTATGTCATTTTTAAAGTTGTCAAATTTAGAGTTCTTAAATATTATACTAGTGTCATCTGCATATAGAATTGGTTTAGATTTATTGTTGATGGTTTTAGATAGATCATTTATGTAGAGAAGAAAAAGTAAGGGACCTAAAATTGTGAAGCAAGTAATCAGCAAAACTGGTCGAACTTAACTTTTCTACTGTTTATTTAGGGTAACACTGAGCTTCACTGTACCAAAGACAGCGGTAAGAGTCTCCCGAAAACCATGCTGATGTTTTCAGTTTGCACAGTACACATGGGAAGACGTTAGCAATTGCCTCGCCTTCTTACCGTTCGAGATTATTAACTCGTTTTGTAATATGACAGTCCTAATTCGCCGAGAAATTACGTATGAGTTCCAGAGTTAGTTTTACCAGTTCTTAATTGACGTTTCAATTATGGAGAAATAGTGTAGTTTTTTCTACTTGAATAAACACAGTGGAAAATAAATTATGAATTTATACCTCCATCTACTTGTACCTAGTATCTAAGTTAAGAACGCATAAAGCCTATCCCATCACCCACCCGCATGTCTTCATGCGTTGTTATTAATTATAAGCACAGAGACAAATTTACCTTTTTTATCTTTACAGTGTAAAATCTGTAAGTTTGCAATTCATGTTCACAGAGGTCAACATCAGGGTCACAGAGGTGTGCCTTATTCTGTCTGTCCCCTAAAATGGTGGTCGTTGTTGGTTGATTATATTTTCATGTAATTTTATATTTGAATTTGATGAAAATACATCTTATTATATTCAGCACTATATTATCTTGGCTACTGATAACGTTGTTAAATAAGCCATAAATAAATGATCGGGTCTCTCTTGTAAAAATCTGTGCCCAAAATGATCATCTGGTATGAAATTAACAAATAGCTGCAAAATTTAAGGTCATCATAAAAATGACTATAAAGAGTACTATTGTCTTCTTGGATGTGACATCTTGTAGTCCGGTGCCAATTACTGGCGGTCTACTTGGCTAAATTTTGTCACACCCCAAAAGATTAAGAAATGCCTGCTTTACTTCCACAGAAGCATTTCACATTTGGTTATTCATTCTGTATTTAATAGAAACAAGTTTTATCTAAGTTATAAAGTATATCAAATTATCCTATGAATGTAGTAACAGTACGTTTTCTTCCTGATACAGCATAGTGCAAAGTTGTTCTCTGTCTGCAAAGGAAAACACCTGTGGCTGTAGAATTTAACAGGCCCAAAGAATATTTTGGTTTATACTTTAAGGTCTTTTTTGGAAACTTATCAGTTAATTCATTCTGTTGCTGGCAAGGGACAAGGGAGAAGTGTGTGTTCAGTCATGCTTCCATGGTGCCTTCAGGCAGCCCAAATTTTACCTCAACTGTTAGTAACTTTGCAAATTATTTTGTATTTCTATTTAATATCCACTTTTGAATACCAATGTCCATATGTTTATTATCCCATGCTGTAATTACATACATAATATTAATTAAGAACACTTTTATTGCCAAGTAGTTGTGGCTTCTGTTAAATAAAATAAGTGAAAGAAAATGTTTCTGAAATTCAAATTAAAGACAATGGATGTGAGAGCATTCCTGATGTGACAGTATGAGAGCATAATTGTGTACAGGACCCAAACTTTTAAGTTGCACCCAGGCTCATAGAAATGTTGTTATATTACTGTCGTTACTTACTTACGTACTCATGGAGCTAAGCCCTTCTGGAGGAGCTGCCAATTCTGCAGCTACTCAAGAATTTCCCAGCATTTTATGGAACCTGAAGGTTCATTACCATGTTGACAAAAGCCTTCCACTGGTCCCTATCCTGCGCCAGATCAATCTAATCCGTACCATCCCATCCTATCTCTCTAAGATCCATTCTAATATTGTCCGCCCACCTACACCTTGGACTTCCCAGTGGTCTCTTTCCTTCTGGCTTCCCCACCAATATCCTATACGCATTCCTCATCTGTAGCCCCATTCGTGCTACATGCCCTATCCACCTCATCCTCCTTGACTTGATCATTCTGATTATACTTGGAGAAGATTACAAGTTATGAAGCTCCTCATTATGCAGTTTTCTCCAACCTCCTGTCACTGCATCTCTTTTTGTCTCTTTTGTCAGCACCCTGTTTTCAAACACCCTCAGTCTATCTTCCTCCCATAATGTCAGAGCCCAAGTTGCACACCCATACAGAACCACAGGCAAAATTATAGTTTTGTATATTCTAATTTTTATGTTTTTGAACAACAGACGAGAACACAAAAGGACCATTAAGCCAATATGCCACAGAAATGCGATACTCTGAACTTCACAGGTACATCATTAATGATGAAAATTTAATTTACTAGTACAGGTATTTCCAAAAATATCAATTACACATCTTACAACACCTTACATAAGGGTTTCAGATATCAGACTGACTACTGCCTACAATGAAGAGAAAGTGAAGCAATTACTGAAGCATGCCTGCATGTACAAGTAAGTGTAAGCTGAAAGCACTGGCATAATTTTGGGACAACTTCTATCATTACTATTAGTGTACTGAATGAAGATCAATGTCTCTAAATGAGTAACAGAAAGGTCACAACAGAACCATTCTGCACATGATTCACCTTGCCTTCTCTTTACTGGGGGATTATAGTGTAACCTCTAGCAGCCGTGGGTTGCATTGTTGCAATGTCACATTCAAGCCATCTGGCAGGCTTTGCATTATACATATTTTTTTAAATTTTAATAATACTGTTAACCCCCAAATTAAAATATGGGCACAAACTCCATGGTACCAGGAAACAAGAAATTCCCATTTCCTGCACAATCAATGTTAATTCAATTTCGTGGGCAGCAGGTTTCTCTTTAGTTGAAATGTCTATCATTTTCCCTGATTCTCTTACCAGGCTCAGAAAATTCTGTCACCACTGGCAAAGTACAACTCAAAGTCATAAATGCAGTCATTAGGGTAATGGTAGTTGTCGAGACAGGCAGGATTTAAATAACCAGGACATTAAGTCTGGCCTAAAAATAATGAAGTAGAACTCATAAGACTTTCTCATCTTTTATTTATTTGCATTGGACAGTAACTTACAGGACTAGCATTTTAAAACAACAAACCATCTCCATAAAATATTGAACTTGGAATTTAATATGTATTTCTTAACATTAGCATGGGTTGCCAGATATACTATATACACTATATATTTGAATGTGTGCTGACTGTTATGTAGTTAAGTCTTAGTATGTTACACATTTAAGTCTAATTTGGGGCTACAGCTATAGTACAATCATATTAATAATAAAATATACAGCTTTTATTTCCCTAGTAAAAATATAATGAAGCTAACAGTACGGTTATCATAGCTTCTATGATATTAACACATCCAAAATTGTTTTAACAGAAGGTTTCCATTAGCTGAAACCCAATTAAAACAAAATTGGCTTACATCAAAGGGCATACTCATTGTATCCTGAAATTTAACAATATAAACTAGTCTACAGTTGCTTATAAGGACGAAGTAGTCCAACATTACTGTAATATTGATGATTACACAACAAAAAAGAAATTACTACATATATGGCAAACTTTTTAAATAGCATTAATGTAACGATTCAGGAACAAAGAGTTATGTGATGAACTAGAATCAATTTCGTTTTCTTGTGCCTTGTGTAGAAGTTTCCTCTTCTACCTCAGAATTAAGAGGTCTCATTACACAAAAAATGCTTAGAGCAGCTATATAATTCCACGTTACAGTAACAAAATGTCAAACAAATTCAATTAAATTCTGACCTAAAAAAAGCATCTAAATAAGTAATAAATGTAGAATAAATATTGAGTCATATACAGATAATTATGACAAAATAATTATGTAGAGCATTAAATTTTAACTGGTTATTTTGCAACTCATGTCTGAAATTTACAAGTGATTCTTGAATACACGTTGCACGAGAGCAACTTTTAGGTGTACTTATGCTAAAGATTTGGTTCTGCCACTTCCCCCAAAATTACTAGAACTGAATATACAGATTATGAAGCAAATCTAAATGTAAGCAAACAGGGCATTACATATTATGAATCCAGTCGAGGGCTGCCCGAATTTCACGCAGCTTTACTCTCATGAGGAATGAAGCAATAAGCTGGTATTCTGGCAGGGTGCGCCGAGTGCCAATCCCTCTGGGGGGACTAACACAACCCTCTCCTACCCCTTCAGTGTTAAAGCTGCTGGAAGTAACAGCTGCGCTCAATTTCCTCCCCTCGCACAGCACCTTAGTTGTTAGACAAAGTAGCCACTGCAGGATCTGCAAACATTTCATAATGGCCAGTGCTACGAATTTCATACTTCATTTTATTGCATAATCATCTCCAGTGTTATTTGGCATATATATCAATAAAGCAAAATAAAATTAATAGATAAGAGAATAAGATCATACAGACACATTTTAAGAATGAATGAAGACAGGATCTCAAACGAAGTTTTGAACACAAAAACAAATCACAAGGCAAAAACTAGTTCAAGATGGGAATAACAGATCAAGAAAGACGTCACATGGGAGGAAAATGGGGGGACAGTGGAAAAGAACACACAGGTACAGAGGTTTGGTTCATAGGTGATTCACATAAAAATGGTTTGAATGTATGAAGAGGAGGGTGAAGGAGAACAGAAGGACGATGAGGAAGAAGAGCAATACAAAAATAGAGTCAAGAAGCATACCAAAGCCAAAAACAATTAATACACAATGGAACAAGGATTCACCTCTATCTAACATATGATGATGATACAATTTTGCTTGCAGCATCAGAAAATAATGTAACAAATATGACCATGATAATGTTAATATGACAATGATAATCTGAAGATACCTCATTGCTAGATGGCATGTATGGTTCATCTGGGTGAAGCCAAGCACTTGGAGCCCACAACAGAAGTTGGCATACTGTGGCAGCAGCTTCTGCACCAAGGCGCTACAACACAAAATACTGTAAGCTTTCAAACTGCAATACTAAAGCCAAACTTCATCATTATGCGAATGACTCAACCAGATTACATGCAGCAGACAGGAATTTTCTAAGGGAAGATATTTTGGGGTGGATGATGTGTTCAGTATCAGAGACCATATAGCCTAGAATAGTAGGGTAATGAATTGCAAAGGATTTGCAAAGAAGTGGTAAAAAACACAACACCATGAAGACATATGGATCCACTATTCTTGACCTTGGCACTACATGGAGGTGACTGGTCAGCTTACGCCCTGCTGTTTTACTCCAGGAGAAAGAGCCCTCGGTACACACCGGATAAGAGGCTGGGTAGGCCCCACAGCCATTCTGGATGCTGTGGAGAAGAGAAAAATTTCTTGTCCCTGGGAACAAAGTGGTTATGGCCTGGAGTGACTGAGAAGAAACCTCAAACAGGATAGTCAGTCTTCTAGCCAAGATATGAACCGAGCAGCTCCTGATTATAACTTGTGTTACCAGTAAACCAGCATGTTTGGAACAGAAATATTGTGCAATGAACAAGATAGGATGTTAATGTACTGTCAACCAATATCATCCGTGAGACGTCAACCACTCTGCCTGAACAGCTATAGCACATTTCTGATGCACCGATACAACAGCACAGAAACAGATGAATGGCTGTAACCTCCATACCAAGCACTCTTTATCACTCCATAAAGTATGCCTAAAAATGAAACTTCCAGATCAATGAGAATCTTATGTCTGGAAACATGAGTTATATTTCTTACCTTGGATGGGTTCCTCACAAGCAGGTTATGAATAAGGTTGGCAACAGTGACTGGCACTCTTTCTGGTAATGGAGGCAAATCTTCTTCTGTATAGGACACGTTGTTCAGGGGTGGCCTGGTATCAGAGCTACTGGAGTAGAATGGGTTTTCCATACCAAACAGTTCATACGCAATGGCTCCAGCTGCCCAAGCGTCTGATTTGGAATAGTTAATTCTGGTGAAGGGACCAGGCTCTGAGCACATTACCTGAAGTCAGAGAAGGTGCACAGGTTCACTTCATTACAAATTTTCCACTAGTTATTAGTTCTCACTTACTTACTTACTTAAGCTGATGCATTTATGTGATCTTTATATTCTGTAAAATGTACCCAGATCGTTTTTAAACGCAGATTTAAAATTAAAGATGCTGTAATTAAAACTGATCCTACACATATACACTTAGCTAGAGTGAAAAAAAGAGGTAAAGCTATCCTTGTAACAGGCCATGGAGGCCATTTGCACTCATTTGTGTCAGAGGCTGAGTCAAACCCACTGCCACAGTGCAGCTGGAAGGATTAGGTCAATTGAAAATCCAATGACCTCATTGGGAATCGAATCTGTGATCTTCCAGCTTACTATATAGCACCTCAACCAACAATGCTACCGCGTGGGTAAAATGAACAAAGAAAAATGGTAGCATTTGAGATCAAACTCACCATCACATTCACTGCCTCCAGAACAATTTGTCATAAAACAATATTTTCTGATTACAGACATTTTAAGTGACTAACTTCCAGGAAAACTGTACCATGCTGGAGTTACAAAATTTCTTGCTGTTGTTCGATCAACTACGTTTAAGCTCTGGTGACATACCTCTGGTGCCATGAGTGCAGCATTGCCGCCTTTCTCAGTATCTGGTGAGTGGTATGGTAATGATAAACCATGCACCCTGTCAGCTAGACAGCACCCAAAATCAGTCACTGCCAGGAGAGGGCAAGTATCATCTCCCTCTGATAAATCCAAAAGGATGTTATCACTTTTGAGATCCCTGCAATGAAAGGTTTCATCATCTCAATAAGTGGTTTTTGGTCAGGACATTAGTATGTGACAAAATTAATTAACATTCATGGTATAAGCATTCCAAAATGTTTGTTTTAATGGTATCAGAGAGAAATTCTGCCAACTATATCAAATGGCACAGAACTTAGTGAAGATAGGTTTCTGTGCCTCTGGAAGTGTATAATGCCATTTGGAAGTTCAAGAGTAGCCAATGAGTTTTCATAAACATGGCTCTAATGTCCAATTTAGTAAATTCTTACAATAAATTGGACAGATCATGTAAAATGTAAGGCTTCTCATCATTTTGAAATATGGGCCCTTACAAAAAACAAAGGCAAAATCCCAGCAGTGGATACAAAATTTTTAAGAAATTATTGTGAGAAAAAACAAGAAGAGGAAACAGTATAAATATAATTGTTAGGAAAAAAGTTGGAATTTAAAATTTATTAACAGTATTTGAACATAAATAACAATTATTTGGTCATGCAAAATGAATGGATAGAACAAAGGTCCAGGGAAGGGCACTAGAATTGCAACTTCAAGGAGACTTACGCAATCACCCAGAATAAGATGGTGCAGCAAGGTACAGGAGAAAGTGACAGGAAGGAACTGGTAAGAAAGTGAACCCGAAAGACTGTGGGAATAATAAAAACAGGAGCCTGGTAATTTTCTGTTCACCAGCCACTTAAAACAGAAACAATGTCAGAAGACAATATGTGACACATACTAACATACTAACCTATGTGCAATCCCATGCATGTTAATGTGTGCAATTCCCTCCAGAAGCTGAGCTAGGAGAAGGGTGCTCACTCGGATGCCCAATTGCTTCTCTTGGATGTACTTCTTCAAATTACTGTCATACCTGCAACCCAACACACTTAGGAATTAACCCTTTAACCAAATTCTAAGACAGACCAATCTGGTGATCAGCCAGTATAGTGACTAGGCTGGATGACCAGAGAATCAGGATTCAATTCCTAGCAGAGGAACAGATTTCTTCTCCCCTTCACCATAGTGCCCTGGCCAGATGTAAGTCCACCCGGCCTTCTACCTCATGTATGTCGGGGTCTCCTTCATGGGAGTAAAGTGGCTGGGAAATGAAGCTGACCACTCACCTCCATCTAGTGCCATGATTTAGAATGTATGGAACTGTGCCTCTGTTCTCCCATACATCTTAATGGTGTTAGCACAGAACAGCTTTAACTTTTACCTTCTACTTTCAAGATTGTGTAGTATTAGTTCTGTCATATATTTCAGAAACTGTTACAGCAGTAGATTCTAACATCTTTAACTACATTTTAAACTATTTATTTGAAATGTCTCCGAACAGCTCATGCTGATATTTTCCAAAAACACTGTGATATTTCCTCACCTGTAAGAAGCATCATGCCAGAAGTACTGAATGAAAGAATGTATAAGGGGTGGGCTTCTTTGCCCTTGCACCACGACCACAGTGATCTATTGTGCTTTCATGCCAGAAGTAACTAAGTTTATTTAGCCAAGTGGATAATTTTCAGTCCAGTGTGACATACAAGTTTACAACACTTCAGTCTTTTTCACCTTACATGTTTCAATTCAAAAGAATCATCTTCAGAGGTGCACCACTACGATCAGGAAACACCGTCACATAAGATGTTTTAACCATATGCACTTAAGCTATGAAGTGGTGCACCTCTGAGGATGATTCTTCTGAGTCGAAACATGTAAGGTGAAAAAGACTGAAGTGTTGTAAACTTGTATGTCACACTGGACTGAAAATTATCCACTCTGTAATTACTAGTGTGACGGACAAAAATGAGACAAATCCAATTTAGTTAGCCTTTCTCCATATCTACAAGCTGCAGTTCCTTTTGCAGTGAACAGTATCATTACCGCTTTAAAGAAACTCATCTCTGTCTTGGTTACACTTGCATGACAATACCACAGAGCTATCATAATTCAAAAAGCTGAACTGGAGTTGTGATGCAAATGTGAAACAACAAGCTATTTACTGAGAAACATAACAATGAAGGGCTTTTCCTTTACTAGTTTTCATTTGTTTGACTACAATCCTACTCTCCCCTGTTCACTAATTTACACCACCCCTGAGGAGGTCTATCTTCTGAGATTGCAATGCCATGTAGTCTGTTGAAAGTCAACCAACAAGAGAACATATTGTAATATTTGAGGTTTTCACGGCGGTGACTATGGAGAAAGCAGCCTTCTGGGATGTGGCGCCGTGTAGATATTGTGTTAACCGACATTTCGGAGGAACGTATCGCCTCCATCTTCAGGGTAGAAGAAAAGAGAAGAAAGTTCACGAGCGACGAACCAGCGTGAGCAGGTGCTAACAGACTAATGTCTTGAGGCGATATGTTCCTCCTAAACATTGGTTAACACAATATCTTCATGGTGCCACATCCCAGAAGACTGCTTTCTTCAAGAGAAGATATTGCTTCCAACTTCAGGGTCGAAGAATAAGCAAAGCAAGAAACCAGTATCAAGCATACAGCAAGCAAAAATGAACTACATGGTGTTAATATCAGAAGATACAGCCCTTCAGAGGCACTGCTGTGAGAACCTCAAATACTACACAGAACACTCCTCTCCATATACCACACCTCTTCATAAGCAGGAAGAGACTCATGTTCCTCCCATAGCCTGCTGGGTTGATACGAGCAGGAAGTGCATCTGGATACAGAGACAGGGACCCAGGCAACATGGGAACACGGTCAGCAAACACATAGTACATCTGCACAATGTTCGGATGGGATGGCAATGTTTTCTTTCGATCCACCAGGCTGTAACACAGTCAACACAGTGAGAGAAAATCCTTCCTTACACATTTTGCCCTTATCATAACACTGAGAAAAACCTGAAACCTGACAATAACACAGACCTACATCTTGAGCATTTATGAGACCAAAATGCCTTATAACATCATTTCTGAACATTTTCCAAATGATGTAGTTCTTGTTCTCAAAATGAAACTTCATGCACACTTTGGTCTCAGAGAGAAGCCTTACGCAGTATTTCAGTGATTATTTAATTTGTACTCAGACTATGTGCTCTCATGCATCATAAACACAATCTGATAGATTTTTCCATTTTAAACAAAAGTGTATTTATTCCATAAAGAGGAAAATTTGGCAAGGTTTTTCTCCAGCCCTTGTCTATCTGTCTGAAATAAACAAAAAACAAAAACAAACTCAATGGCCTGTAATCCGCAAGCGAACTCTGTCTGATGACAGCTGAAATATATCTTGTGTGCTCTCTAATTATGAAGCATCACATATCCTCCACTTCAGAATGACTACCCTATAGCATAACATATATGTTTCTCACCAAGTACAGACATCTGCTGTCTGTCACCTCAGATCCTTCTACATGCCTGCCTGATGATGTCTATCAGACTTTAACATTTTATCAGATACTGTACCAGTACAGACCAAAATTAAATCTGCATCACAACATTTAGTGTGAACATGAAATACCAGATTTAATTTAAGTCATTCAAACAGCATAGGAGACTGAGCCTGTGAACAGATTAATTTCAAGTACTCAAAGAATGTACCAATACTCAAATAAGTTAGGTCAAGAAATAAAGCTCTCCATCACCTCTTCTCCCAGGAGCTCAGTTCCTCGTTCGTAAAGTGGCATTTTGCTGGGACAGTTTCCCTGTACATTGCTCGCAGGATGGACATGGCATTGGATTCTGCATCATAGTTGAACATCATCTTAACAGCCAATGGGAAATTTGACAATTCTTGCTCATTTGTGTCGACTGTAACGCTCATTTCTGAATTTTGAAGTGCCTCAGTTTTCTCAGACTCTGAGGAAGAAATCAAGATGATGTGAATAAAATTATCCAAGTAAGACAGGAATCTATAAGTAGTGTCATGTTCCAAGAAGTTTCCCCACTAAAATTTGATATACGTTTATCTCTTCCAGGATACATGTTCAATTCAATTTAAGTACTGACACTGACTGTGAAAAGAACACCAGTCCCTGTGCCCCATATCAGTCAGCCCATAGTGCTTACTGCTAGTTATCATCAGCTTATCACTACCAACATCACCATGAACAGAGCAGCTAGAATACTGTTGGGGAATACGGGGAAATATGCTTGAAGGGAAAGCATAACAGCTCAAGCTAAAAGTGGAAGGGGTCAATTTTATGGGGTTTCGTTTCATGGCTTCAGTACAGTACAACGAAATCCACAATTCTTACAAATGAATGTCAGGAATTCCAGATGAACCGTTAACATTAATTGAAAAGGTAGTTGACACTGTTGTCTGCGACCAGTACCTTGCTTCTTGCGAGCCGCATATACGGCAGCACTACAACCTTTTGCAATCAGAGGTCCCAGAACTAAGCTTCTGAGTCCCACAGGTTCCTCATCACCTTTTATCTCACTTTCGCTGCAGTCAGTCTTTGAAATGTTCCATTGCATCCGAGAAACTGCCTCCTGCAAGCACAACAGAGCCATTACAGCAACACTTCAATTTAATAATAATCTGCAGTACATATATTTTCAAAATGTGTTCTTTACAACTTTGTATCTCTCATTGACACTGACACTCATTTACTGGATACACAAATCTATTGGTGTTAAGCTAGCTGCACTACAGGGATACTGCATATATCATAAATCATGTATAACCAACTAACCAGCCGACCAAGTACCTAACTCACTGACTCACTTAACGAAGCTGAGTTCTTATTGAGAAGCCACCAATCGCTCAGCCGCTAAAGGAATTTCCCAACATTTCATGGAACTCTAAGGTTCATTACCACATTCACAAGTGCCCACCTCTAGTTCATATCCTGAGCAAGATGAATCCAGCCCATCCAATTTCTCTAAGATCCATTTTGATATTATCCTCCAATTAATGCCTAATGGTTAAAGGAGTTTAGTAACAGCCCTATGTGTGACATCCATCTTTAAAACCAGCGGTAACTATATACAGTGCCTGCTTTAACATTGCACTGTGCACTCCACTAACAGAATGTATTTATACGAGTATGTTCCATATAATTGTCACAGTAAACATTATTTCCCTAAACAGCATTAACTGGCTGGTCTTTGTAATACAGACAGAATTTGCTTCCCGTGAGTACGGAACTGAGTTTTTATATAATATTTATATGACTGTCAAGGTTTAAAGCATTATAATAAACTCATTATTCAACTGGTCAAGCAGTGTTATATATACTTATGAGCAGGTCTGAAATCATTTTATATTGAAGTTAGTTGTTTACTTTTCACACTTTACATTGCTGTGACTCTACCCACATGTACTAATGAGGATGGAATTACCTGCAACACAAACAGTGCAAAGTACAGTTCTCTGAATGTGAACCTTATCATCAGATTCTCGCTGACTCATTGTCCACCCAACCGCATCCTATTATTTACCTAACTTTCAATAACTGTACGTCATCAAATTGCTGATAAGATATTTATCAATTAATATTGCCAAATAACATTAAAGATTTAAATTATATGAGCTGCACAGAGCACAGACATGAGGTTTCAATTCAAATGTTGCAGAAATTTATACACTCAAACATTACACATTCATTCACAAGAGGGCTATAATTTTACTTGTGCTGTGTGGGGCTCAGGATAGGGACCAGCAGCAAGTTATTGTACATATGCTAATACAACTTTGGGTTTCATAAAAGACATGAAATATCCTGACTAATTCCGTGACTATCAGCTTCTCAAGGAGTCTGCTCTATAGTTAGGATATATGGGTATAAAACTTAATCTCCCATCCAAAGGAGCACTAACTGAATATGAAGAGCTTCATCTTCTGAGATATAATGTTGAGTAGGCCGGTGAAATTCAAATGAGGTTCCAGAGGAAAACACTGCCTCAATCTTCAGGATTGAAGACTAAGTCAAACAATAAATCAGCATGAAGCAGGCAGCAAGTGAAGCCTTTTAATGGACTATATGGCATTGCTTCCCAAAAGATAGAACTCTTCATAACCATCGCTGTGTGAACAAGATCCTGAGGAGCATTTCTGGGCCTCTGAAGGACAAGAAGAGGAGGAAGGAGGGAATATATAATGAAAAGCCTCATAATTTGTACTTTGCACTTAATAACTGAGAGAGCCGGGATAGTGCAGTTGGTATAGCAGCTGGCTACAGGCTCGATGACAGAGGGATCAGAGTTTGAGACCCAGTAAGGTCAAGAATTTTCTCTACTCCACATCATCCAGACTGGCCCTGGGGCCTACCTTGCCTCCTATCCAACAGGTACTGGTAGCTCTTTCCCAGGGGGAGAGGGAGTGGTAGGGCCATAAAGATGACCACTCACCTCCAGCTAGTGCCGAGGTCAAGTAAATGTGGATCTATACATCCACGCCCCCATATGCCTTCATGGTGTTGTGCTTGATTAGTTAAGCATAGGAGAAACTTTACTTTTACTTAATAACTAATTCAATGGAGATGAGTCACTCTTCAGAAGCTAATAGTTGTTTAGCCATTCAAGAAATTCACAGTATTTCATGGAATCTGAAGGTTCATTACCATATTCATAAGAGCCTGTCACTGCCCCTGTCCTTAAGCAAATGAATCCATTTGACATCCTCCCACAATATTCCTTTAAGATCCATTTTAATATCATCCTCCCAACTATCCTAGGTCTTCCTGGTCATCTCTTCCTTCCCAAGTGGGCTACAAGCCCTGCTCATCTTATCCTTTGTGATTTGATCATTGTAATAACATCTGGTGCAGAGTACAAATTATGAAGCTCATCATGCAGTTTTCTCCAGCCTCATGTTACATCTTCGCTCTTAGGTCAAAATATTCTCCTTAGCAACATTTTCTCAAAGACCCTCATCCATGTTCTTCCCTAAATGTGAGACCAAGTTTCACACCCATAAATTAATGCTACTAGCATGATCAAATCAATGAGAACAAAACTGGGAGGATGAGAATATGAGAAGTGCATACAAAATTTTGGTCACAAAACCTCAAGGGAAGAGATCACTTGAGAAATGGACACAGACCCATTAGGGTCTTAAGGAAATGGTGTGTGAACTGCATTCTTCTGGCCCAGGACAGGCGCCACAAGTGGGCTCCTGTCAGCATGATAAAGTTAGTTTACATGTTTAGGGAGGCATGTTATAAGGACGTTCCATAGAAAGACACCACTGTGGGAACCTCAAATCTAACACATTCTCTACAAATTGTTCATTTTCTGGAGTAAGATATTATGTCTACCCTAATATGTTTTGGGGCCTTGTTCTGTCTCCATCTTCAGGCAAAAACGAACTCTACTTGAACTATAAGAAAAGTCTTCAATTCCAAATAAAACTGAATTTTTCAAACTGAACCGACACTCCCAGTGCAAGAATAAGATCTGATGGAGTCTACATCTGTGACTGCTTGCAATTTGGTAATTTCAGTGTCAACACCATATCATCCTGTTTCACTCACACTGGAATTCTGAATAATAAATTCTAATGATTGACTGACTGATTGATTGATTTCGTCACTGTAGATCATTGTACATGATATAGGACAAGTCAAGTTAATTCATTAAAATTACAATAGTTACAATTGTTTATGGTTGATTACAATTTAGAATTAGTTAGATATTCTTATTTGTGGAGAATTTGATGGAATGAAGAATGTTAGACTGTATGTATAAACTCTTCTCGATGTGTGTGTGTGTGTGTATGTATATAAGTAATTCCAATAACATGCGACTCTTTTTACTCACTCTGATCTCCCAGCATATGCCTTCTAGCTCGTCATCCTTGGTTAATATTCCTGTCCCAGATGCCAAACTCACCCCAACCAAAGCAAAAAATGGTGCAGAATCGCCGAATAATAATCTTTTAGTTGCTCTCTTACGTAAATCGGCAGCCAGAGAATTGGTGACTCTTCTAAGGACGTTGTCAACAAACAGTCGTCGGGCATGGGCATGTACTTGAAAGCCAACATTTCGAAATACAGACTGCACTGCCGATGTACTGGATTCTACTTCTGCTCCGTTCGGGAGAATGTTGAATTTGACTCCGTCCACCACGTATTTCGGATTTTTCTGAAGCTTATATGTTCGCAGAAGTATACGACCATTCTGCAACAGTCGATGGATGACTGCACGCAGTGACATTTCGTACTCTTGCACCGAATGCGCCCAAAGGGGAGCAAATCCTCCAACAAAGAGCTTCACTTTGATTTCTTCTTACACTCGATCGATAAACTACAGACCCATCACTCCAAATGCTACCCCCTAACTAAACTAAACTAAATTATCTCCTACATACCAATATTCCGTCCCTCACCAATTACTGTAGATCTGTAGATAACCTGGTAATGACTGATAACCGCTGGTAACACCCCTACGAAGCTTTCAGCTGTTTGCGCAGCTGTTTACGGAGATGACGTATTAGTACATAAATAGAGTGTATTTTTAAACCAGTTTCAGCCAAATATAAGTTGGTGGAATTTTACTAATTTGTAAAATATTCTGCAATAAATTGTGTGTTACTACGACTACATTTTATTTTTTTAAATTTGTAGGTCAGTCTTGTACGATCTTGTAGGTCTTGTAGTAAAAACTGACGATAGGTGGCATAAGTGTTTTCCGGAATATGGAACATATATTTCTGTAATTAATACATTGTTGGTTGTAATAGTTAAAGGCTGGAAGGATTGCGTATTTCTTCTGGAATGTTAATCGTATATTTCTTAGGAGACCATTGTTTGTAGTATTTCTGTGAATCGCGTGAGCTATTCTTGTAAAATCACGTAACCTTGAATTGGGAGTAGACATGGAATTTGTGGATGAAACTGTTGTGTTAAATTTGTATTTTCTGTGATGGAACTTTTCTCCGTAGGAGTTAGGAATGTTGACTGAAATTATTAAGTTGTCACTACATCGTTATTAATTGGTAAGGCAATAGGTAGTTGTGGAACTTTTGTTCGGTAGATTTTCACAGAATGTGTGCATAGTAACCTCACGTATGACAATCCGTCATCGACCATAGTGTCACAAGAACGTGACAATTTATACGGAGACCAACTACATCCTGTTTGGGTTGATTAAGTCATATTTGTGTAGGAAGAATGTTGGCCACTTTTAAAATTGTTTGCATAATGTTTTGTATGTTTTTGATGCTTTTAATTTTTCAACTTTTACAATCCTCTTCCAGTAATGAAAAAATAACGAACCGACAATGAGCACGCGTAAGACAAACAGTGCGACAGCACGCCTAAAACAAGACTATTTGCGGCTGAAAAAGGATCCAGTTCCTTATGTTGTAGCAGAACCACTACCATCAAATATCCTAGAGTGGTATGTATGACGTTATTTTGTGGTGCAATGTGAGACTGGTCAGTGAAGATTTGAAACAATTGGAACATTGGTGTTTTCATTGTTTCAGGCATTATGTTGTCACAGGTCCAGAAAGCACACCTTATGAAGGAGGGCTGTATCATGGGAAACTCGTGTTTCCACGAGAATTTCCCTTCAAACCTCCTAGCATATACATGATCACGCCAAATGGAAGGTTGGTACTTGGACTCTTTAGGTGCTGTTTACAGAGTAAAATAAAATGCTTTATGTGGAGGTAAAGGCCTAATGTCGTTGAATCTGACCTCACACAAGGGCTAAGACTGTTGGACAGAGTTTATTAAATTTTCTGAGCAATTCTGCAGAGAACACTGTTATGAATTCTTTGTACATTTACATTTATTTTCACTTCATGGATCCAATCATCTCCCCATAGGGCTGGATATAAAACATGTCACACATTACAAATTCATGATGACTATGCATCATTCGTCCTTTATCCAATAAAATGTATAATTAGGCCTCTCACAAATAGCTCAAGTTGTTAGGACAACACACATGGGTTGTGGAAAAACCACTGTCAAATTCACGCCTTGCCATTCCACGCACACTGGCAAGCCGAATCAGTAAAACAGTTACATTATAAAATATTAAAATTCATAACAAAAATGGATATAATACATACTACCACACTTACAACAAGCAAGTCTCAACAATATATAATTCACACACACAGACCATTTATTAACTCTTAACTTTTCAGCCCCTTGCATGCTTGACAAATTCATCAGTAGAGTAAAATATGTTACTTTGCAAATAATTTTGTAAAACGAAGCTAAATTGCTTTTTGTCATTTTTTAAAACTGTGATATTTGACAGCAGAGAGTTAAATATGTACTTCTTTTGGCTTATTATGGACTTCACCCATCGTCCGGTATGTAAAAGACAAAAGATCACGACGTTTCGGAGACTGGATCTGTGTCCGTTTTCAGGTGGATAGGGAAGGATAAACCTACTCAGTTGGGCCCGCTAGAAAGAGCTAGTCTCAATCACTGGACCTACCCACCTGAAGACGGAGACAGATCCAGTCTCCAAAACGTCGTGGTCTTTTGTCATTTACATACCAGACGATGGGTGAAGTCCAAAATAAGTACAGTGTACACCATCGTCAGAATCCTTTCGAGTCTATCAGAGAGTTAAATAGCTTGACGCCTGAATAATACACCCCTCTCTGATAGGATGATAAATGAAGGTATGTCATGTTTAGCTTCTGGAACAGGTTACAGATATGTCACTCTCTGAATATACCATGCACTTCAGTTTCTGCATTCACATTGCAGAATGCTGGTAATTGTTGACTTATTTAAATGCTTTTTAAACTGTGTGTGTTATAGAGCACTGAAGTACTGGAATGATTATGAATGATGAATAGGAAAGGATGCAGAAGGAAACTGTTGTGACTTTGATTAAGGTACTCCTCCAATGTGTGGCAGTACTGAACAGAACTGTGTCACCCTTGATCAGGATAATCTAAACCAAGATTAATGCTCAGGGATGGTTGTGTCAGTCCAAAGTCTATAGTTACCAAGTCATTTACAATCATTGTGTTAGATTTGGTTCATATAGTTTTAATGTTATATTTTAGCGTCCTGTTGCACTGATTTAAGTCCATGATTTATTTCAACCGTCTTCCAGTGCATACACTCATCTATCTCACTCCTCTCTCTCGCACTACATGTTTCGGCACAAAAGTGCCAGTATAACAGTATAACACACCCAGTCACAGGAGCAAGACACAACACAAAGCACAATACACACACGATAGTGAAAGAGTGCTCCAACAGAAGAGGATAGCGGTGACTTGCATAGTGAGATACGACGTAGGGTTGAAAAATCCTGAACACTTTTNTTTCTGGCCTATTGTACCAGCTCAGATGATAGGTGAGGGTGATTGTGGAGCAATTGGTGGAATGAAGATTGGCAGGGAAACTGAAGTACTCTGAGAAAACCTGCCGCAGTGCCACTTTGTCCACCACAAATCCCACTTGACCAGACCCGGGATCGAACCCAGGCTGCCGCGGTGGGAAGCCAGCGACTAACCGCTTGAGCTATGGTGCGGCCCCAATTTTACTCTTAAGTTAGATTAATTTATGGAGGCCAAAGGCCTTGTGTGGGGATAGTGGTGTATGGCTCTACTGTTCTTGACCTCAGCAGTAGATGGAGGTGAGTGATGAGCTTCCACCCTGGTTGCTTTAAACCCAGGTAAATAGAGCTCCCAGTACCCATTGGATAGGAGTTTGGGTCAGGTGCAGAACTGTTCTAAATGCTGTAAAAAAGAGAGAAATCTCTTCTCTCTAAATGTGGCATGTAGCCCATTGCTGTACCAACTGAGTAATATTTATATTCATATGTTTTTCACATTATAACAGTGTGTGCTGTCTTACTTGCAGGTAGAGGTGTGTCAGAAGTGTGCCAGGGTGGGAAAGAATCTGTAACTATTTCTGTAATTTTATGAAAGAAATGCTCTTGTGTTTTTGCTCTCATGTACACAACACCGTTGTGATGTTCCAAGGTTCACTAATTTTATCCAGTCATTTGCACCATCACTGTACATTTATCATCGTGCAGCCATAATCAAGTATGTTCATGCAGAGTTGCATGTGTAGTGATCAAAATATGTTGCTCCAACAGAGTGTCTAGTGATAGTGTGAGTGACTGAATAAAATCACACAGCCTTAAATTGTCGTAAAATGGTTACATACAGCAAAATGGAAACATAATACCATTTGAATGATAATGCATCAGGATGCTTCAGTGCAGAATTTACCAAGGAACTTTAGTTCACTGTATGAAACATTTCAGGTTCTTTTGGTGTTTGTGTTTCGCTTTAGTTTCCTGTGCCAATTTTATGTGCATTCACCTTGCTCATCCATGCTAGTTTCATTTTCTAAGGGTGTTTTGTTCTCTTGTGTCATTAATGCATGTCATGTGATGGTATCTCCTCATTTACAGGTTCAAGACCAATACTCGCCTGTGTCTGTCCATAAGTGACTTTCATCCTGACACTTGGAACCCTGCATGGAGTGTGTCCACTATTCTTACTGGCCTCCTCAGCTTTATGGTGAGTAACTGTTTCAAGCAGACAGTATTTTTGGACATGTTCTTGGTGTAAGTTACTGGACTGGTGGGAGGGGCTGCTTCCATTACATATGAGGCAGGAGTCTAGGTGGACCCCCAGAGCCAGTCTGGACCTGGTGGTGGAGAGAACAATCACCAACCCCCACCTCCAGTAGGAACTGAGCTCTGATTTACTGTTTGGCCAGTTTTGAATTGTCTCTATGTGGTGATCAGCCATAAATGGCCAGTGCACTACTGTACGCCCAGCAGTTATGAAGTCAGTACTTTGGAATGTATAGAATTCAGAGTGTCTGAAATATGTGGGTTCATCATCATCATCATCATCATCATCATCAGAGAGTCATGTAGATTGCGATGTGGTCATTAGAAAATTGTCCAGTAAAAATTTTACAAGGTCGGTTGTGCAGACCCCATTGAGATGGATTTTCTCAAGTTGGATGCTCAGGGCCTTGTAAACTGGAAGCAAAAGTAATGCCCTGTCTAGAGAGACAGGGTTTTCAGTAAATCTGATGTCAGAGATAAGCAGGATTTCAGTCCATATCATCATTCCTTTGGGAGTATAAAGTCTGTAAACAGCAGTGCACATGTACGTGGAGACCTCTGCATCCTTCTCACTAAATTGCACACACCTCAGATGGAAACAGGATGCACAAGGCCCACAGCTGTTAGCAAGCAGATGTCTTTATCTGCAGCCATTCTGAGCATTAAACATACAACTCCTGAGTACTGCACTGCCATCACAGCACAAACATGCCCATGCACTGTTAGAGCTGAAGCAATAATGATGGTGATGATTGCAGTGTTGATGTTTTTGGCGGTGGCCATATGCAAACCATTTTAATTGTTTTCCATGCTTTTCATTACTTTCCACGCCTCACAAATGACCAAATAGGTTGGCTAGATCATAATTAAAGGCATTAACCATAACAGTAACTGAAATATGTCAGTGACAGACAGGCAGGATGTTGACTCAATAAGAAATGTTTGTCAATTTCTAATGTTACTATTTTGTGTTGTCAGATTGAGAAAAGTCCGACACTGGGAAGTATTGAGTCATCTGAGTATGAGAAGAGGCAGCTGGCTGGTCAGAGCTTGGACTTTAACCTCCGAGATAAGGTGTTTTGTGAGCTGTTCCCAGACATGGTTACTGTAAGTTTTATATAGTAATACAGTAATGTTATTTTACAAAAGAACGGTACATTCTGTTGTTTATTTATGTAAATAAGTAGGTAGGTAGGTAGGTTTGATATATGGTCTTTATATTAAATCTTTCAGGACATCAAGACTGAACTTGAAAGAAGGGCAGAAGCAGAACGAGCTGCTCGAAGCAACCCCCAGTCTGTAACATCAAATGACATGCAAGCACTCTTACGGAATCAGTTTGGCAACAATGACCAAAGTCCGCTCCACAGTGCCATTACAAATATCTGTGTCATCATAGGATTTGCAGCTTTTGCTTACACCGTCAAGTATGTGCTGAGGAGTATAGCAACAGAGTGAGATCGCAGCACCATTATGATGACAGTTTGTGGTAATGCTGTGATGTGATCATCAATCAGAAAGTCTGTCAATGATTGCAAATGATGGTCCCTTTCTCCCCACCTCCAATAAACAGACTGCAAAGTATGGTTTATCTGTAGTTTCAAATTTCTGTTTTCATTTATTTCTCAGGGCTGTACATTTTTGCCTGCAGGCCTAACATTTTTGATGGAAGTTAAAATTAAGGGCACATGCTTGGTTAAATTCGTGGATTGGATGAAAATATTAGTTGGTATAAGAGGCTAATAAAATTTGACTTCCTGTGCAAGTAGATGGACATGTGTGACAGAAGAATTCAGAAGCATTTGTCAATAATTGCCAGAGCTGGATGAAAATCCATCATCCATTGGTTTGCTGATTGAAGTAACATATTGAATTATTACTTTATTATGATCATAAACATTTTCTTTTGAAATTTATCCCTAGAAGTGCCAATTTCAATTCCTGCAATACCAAGCCACAGTCTTAAGTTGTCAGAGCTTCTATTTGTTATGGATAAATAATATAATGTCTTGAAGAACTTCAAATTTAAAAAGAACTGTTCCTCCAGATGATTCTTGACTATATAGTTCAGATAAAATGCCTTCAGATGTCACATGCTGTCATGTAGCAGTTTTTATAAAGGGCAAGATTTTTGACACGGCAATTGTAAGGTTGAATACCAAGTTATGATATTGAAGTATTTATTCCCCTTACTTCTTCACTCTTACATTATGTGTTGCCAGCAATGGATGAAAGTCTCTTGAATTGGACTGTGCCTAATGGTACTTGGAAATTTCACTTTCTCTTTGTTCCTTTTATTTTTAGTGTTACTGTTATCACAATATATTTGTCAGTGCTAGAACCCTTTGTCTGCAGAATGTGTACTCACTATAGACCTGAATGTGCAGTCAGAATAAGTTCACTAACTGCAGTATTAGGTTGTTCTCAGCCACAAAAAAAAAATAAATATTTACTTGAATAAGTTCTTAAAATGGAATGTAATTTGAAGAAACATTCGTCATCCAATATGTGGCAGTGAATATTAAGTTTATGGTATTCTTGGGTCAGATGCTATACAGTTTTGTAGATAGGTACCAGTGTTTTGGATTAACCTAATACCTTCATCTTTTAACCTGGAGTTAGAAGCAGCAGGTTCTTCCAAAATATTTGTATCTATCAAACTGAATGGTATATGGTACTGTGATATTAAATCCGTGTCAGAAAACTGTCAATAGAACAGTAAGATCTGAAGGAATAGATATATTGAATTGTCTTTAAATTGGAATTTGTATGTTGTATGGGATTTATATTTAAGTAACTGGAAAGATTAGGATAATAATATTAAAAGTAATAGCAGTAGTTCAACATACACTTTATTCTCAAACTGTATGATCACGTAAGTTAAATGAACAAATGTTCAGTCCCCATTTAAATTACAGGTAGCTATAAATTTATGATGGCTCCCAGTAATCAATAGTAATAATCTCAGTTGTCAGGTTCCTCACAGTCTCTGTAAATTAAGGTCATTGATCCTGTACTGAGGCCACAGAAAGAAGGGATAGATAGACCCATCGACACCTCCCTGAAGCTTTTACTCTTTCCTCTCCAGTGATTGTCCCTATATTCCCCTTGAGCCATCAGCCATTCACACAAATATTGGTAATGATAACCATGTGATAACTTTCAGACATGATATGTGCTTTGTGATGACTGGCATAGATCAGAGAAATTAGGCAGAAAGGGGAAAGCCACAGTGTCATCCTCCCCACCATCCTTGGGACTTCTCTCTGTGACTGCAGTATAGTTCATGGAGTAGCATGGTGCAGGTTCTTCTGAATGATCAAAGAAAATGTCATCAGCTACCCAAATGATGCACCACTGTTCCATTTTATAGCCTTAATGACCTTACATTCCAGCTCTGAAGTCTCAAAATTTGTCCAGAGTCCAAAATCATCATTGGTTACAGTTAATGGTTTTGGACTATCCCATGATCTGCCATTGATATGTACTAGACCATAGTTTTCTAAAGCTTTAAACAATACTACTCATCTCTAAAGAACCGTTAACCAGTAACTTTTACCATTGATAATGAAGGATGTGTCTCTGTGCCTTCCCACTAGTGCACATATAAGATATCAGTAATAATTACATAAATTTGAAAGAGATGATTATTAGTATATTGACTAATAATTAAGCTGAATATATGATCAGTTTCATACAGCCAACTAAAAATGTATACATAGGACATAGATTCAGACATGTTAATTTCATGATGTTTTGTTATTGAATTGAATATAATTTAATTGCATAATCCTTCATGCTTTATAATTTATGGTTCCATAATTTTGTGTTTCACTCTGCCTCTGAAGTAAAAACTAAAAACAAGAGAAATAACAGTGAGAAAGTTAGAATTTAAACATAAATACTTTGGAAGATAAATAATTAAATAATGATACAGTTGTATGAATGCATTCTAAGAATGACTGAAGATGGAATAAAAGAAAATGAACAGGAAACCAAAATCCTCCATGCTGTGTAATTTCTGATTCCCTAATTTTGCATTTCACACAAGAGTCTGAAAGGAAAACCAGAAACGGGAGAGAGGAAGTGAAAGGTTAGGATTTAAACATAACCTGGAAGATAAATAATTAGGTAATGGAATACAATGATATTTACACATTTTAAAAATGAACAAAAACAGAATCCCAAAGAAGGTTTTGAATATGAAATAAAAATGAAAACCAAAATGAAGACTGAAATGAAAATGGGAAAAGCAAAATATTGAATATGTCACACAGAAGGAGACTGCCTCTATGGTGTAGTGGTTAAGTTCCTGGCTAAAGATCTGGAGGTCCGGGTTCGATTCCCAGCTCTACAAAATTTTTTCTGAGAAGTAATGGGTCTGGAATGGGGTCAACTCAGCCTCATGAGGATAATTGAGGAGCTGTTTCAGAGAAATAGTGGCTCTGGTCTAGAAAACCGGAATTAATGGCCGTGGGGATCTGTTGTGCTGACCATGCGACAGCCTCTGTCTGCTAAAGTCAGCACTAACTTCACCAACAAGCGGCGGTTGCTTGGTTGGTATAGTTCGTTTGCGGACTAAAACCACGTTTTTTTTTTGTCACGCGCAAGGAAGGAAGAACATGGCTGAAACCTGATGAGAAGCAGCAGCTTTTGGATGATAGAGATAAGATGGAGAGAACTGGTTGTTAGATGACCCACAGAAAGTGTAAGCACATAAGCACCTTCTGCAGCAGGTGCGGTGACATGGTATCTTCTTAGCCTGGCTCCGAGTTTCTGTTTCGACTAGTGTGACACTGAGCCACAGCAAGTTAAAGTAATTCCCTGATTTGACGAATGTCCCAAGATCAACCAGTATTGAGCTTAACAGTAATCTGTTAAATAATAAATTGTGAAAAAGAAAGCAAGTGGCCATAGAGACAGAAGTTGAGAGATATCAGTTATTTATTTAAGTTCACTATGGCCATGTCATAGCTCAGGTTGTTAGTCACTGGTTTCTCATTGCACAGGCCCAGGTTCAATCCAAAATTAGTACAAGACCTGTAGTGGGTTGAAGCCATTTTTATCCAAGTACCAAGGAATATCTCACCCCATTCTTGTGATCTCAATCGTCACTTATATTCAACACACAGTCAGTTGTGTGTTGTTCTTTATGGGAAGTGGTAAAGTTTCCACTGTACTACCATGAAAGCATATACAAGTCAGTGTGTTCTTCATGTCAACTATGAGTACAGGCCACTGGTCATCTTTATTCTCCAGTTGCATTAATCTCAAAGAAAGAGTTTCCATTTCCCATTAAATACAAGAAGAAATAAAAATCCTTTCCCCCCCTGGAAACGAGCTTAGTTCATCAGACTCATAACTGAGCTGTAAGAATATAACTTGACAGTTGGTAGCAGTGTATAAGAGAGAAGACTATGTGCATTTTAATGCTAGAGGGGTGGGACTAAGTCCCTTATATTGCGGCCATTTCTGGCCTATTGTAGCAGCCCCAGATGATAGGTGAGGGTGATTGTGGAGGAACTGGTGGAATGAAGATTGGCAGGGGAAACTGAAGTACTCAGAGAAAACCTGCCCCAGCGCCACTTTGTCCACCACAAATCCCACTTGACCAGACCCGGGATCATACCCGGGCCTCTGTGGTGGGAAGCCAGCAACTAACTGCTTGAGCTATGGCTCAGCCCATTTTAACAGTTACTCTCCCATCATTTCTGCAGCTGGCTTAACTCAGCCAAGCCTGCCAGTTTTATTATTACAGTAGTAGTTGCCAGTATTTTGCAGTAAATAAATGAATATCATGGACATATGTCCAAGAAGCTGCAAAATATAGCCACGTGCACCATTTAGTGATGGAAGAAACCTCTAACTAACTAAACTCTAACTAAAGTTTTGTAGAGAAATTTACTGGTTCCCTTTTGTCTTTACTAAATGCACATCTGTTCAGAAGCAGCACGCGGTAGCATAGTTGGTTGAGGCACTATGCTACAAGCCGGAAGGTTGCGGGTTCAAATCCCGATGAGGTCATAGGATTTTTTTCAATTGACCTAATCCTTTCAGCTGCACTATGGCCCTGGGGTCGACTCAGCCTCTAACAGAAACGAGTACCAGGAATATTCTTGGAACATTCTTGGGGGTAAAGGGTGGCCGGTGCGTAGGGCTGACAACCTTGTTGCCAACTAAGAGCCGATTGCCTAGAAAATGTGAGAACCTCAACATCTCACAACCCTATGGGCCTCCACAGCCTGTTACAGGGATACAATTACTTTTTTTTTTTACTTTACATCTGTTCAGATGTTGCATGATATATTTGGGCCCTCAATATTTTGAAGCAGATGGGAGTGAATTGTTTTCCTATTCAAATAACAGCTTGGTTAATTCAGACAGCTGTACAGTTTATTCTGATATGGCATGATGCAGCTTCTGTTGACCCTCATGGGCTATTTTCTCATGAAACCTTTGAATATCTAAGACAATGTTCATTTCCAGTTTATTATATACAGTTTGAATATATGTGGATAGAACATGAAAATGTGTCCTTTGATTTAATAAAGACAAATACAATTAATTTTATATGCTTTTATTTCTGTACTTCATACAGTGTAACATTCAAAGCACAGTGGTTACTGCATGTACAACATATTTTAACAGCAAAATAATCTGTGTTTTGCCCATAGTGTATTTATGTGTCTTCTGTGATTCTCAGAATAGGTGGAGATTATCTCCATAAACAGCATTAACCATCTTTTATTTGCAGTAGAGAAAGTCCATGTTTTTTGAGATAGGAACTGAATTTTTAAATGTTTTTAGATACAGTTCATGTTCAGCTGTGAGCGAGTACATTCATTTCAAGAAAGTGAAAAATAATTTTGTCCTGATTTGAGGCTTGTGTTAATGAAGGAACGTCACATGTATATCTGTCTCTTCTTACCAAAATGTGCCTCCCCTCCGATTTCTCTAAAATGTGTGCTGCTTCAGTTAGCTGGTCATCCAGGAGTATTGCAAGATGGTGACTGGGTTTTGCCCAAAAGGCTTTATCTGGAATATATAAGAATGATTTGCATCATTTACATGATCCTTCTGTATAAGTATTGTGAATTAGTTTAAAACACTGTAGGATAATTTAAAAAGTGTTCATAATTGGGAATGAAATAGTGCCCATAAATTTAAAGAAAGTAGTTATTTTACCCTTCCATCCACATGGTACACCATCATACATATCAGTTCCATGCCACTGGGCCTACCTATTACATTTATCATCTGTATTACCCAGTGAAGAGGAGAAAGAGTGGGTCCCAAGGTTGTCATGGAATTGATGAACAAAACAAAATTTAAACCCCTTCTTGGGAGCCACTCTTGGTTTTTTAAATCAAATATGTTGGAAATTAGGTAGATAAAACATGGGTCAGACAATGCTTGTTGCCTGGAATACCATAACTATTTTCAGTACAATATGTCGGTAATCCAAGTTATACGAAGAAGGGTAAAAGAAAACTGGTTCATGCAGCAATTTCAATGCCTTTTCTGGCCATACTCAACAGATGACCACGCTCTCTTTTCGACAGCTACTGCCATCTGAGCGACACGACTGGAAATTAGTTGCATATACCCACATACGCCATAGACGTGGGAGATGGTAATCACGGAGTACTAAGATAATCCCGGACAATACTGTTGGCAGTTCTGGATAGTCCATTGTGAAAACGCGGGAGTTTGATTTCGTGCGTATGGAAGCAATATTGTGCGGTAATTTGTGAAAAGTTGCTCTTGGAACCAGTTTTCTTTACAAGTGAGCGCTCCTGTAAGGTATGTAATATAGTTGTACTTCTTAGAGCACTTTTTGATGTTGTATCTGAATTAACGCTTCTGATGTTTTTCGTTATTCATTATTAGCTCTGTCGAATATATGATCATATTTAATTTCGCATTTATACAATTAACAAACATGCATGTATGCGTAACATACTTTATTCTTGTATAGAAGTTTTGGACAGGTTATGTGTTACATGTCCTACGATAATCATGGTCTCAAACTTTATTTGTTTAAGTTTCACTCAACAGATGGCTCAAACGTCTTAGTGGCAGACCTGTTAGCCATAAAAGTTTCTAGAAATGTCAATGGTGAATGTTGGCAGTTCTGGAACCTCTATTCTGTAAACTTGGTTTATTTTATTTTATGTGCGTGCGTGCATGCGTGCATACACGCACATGATATAATCTCAAGGCGTTTTACTAACAAATATTATGTTTCTGGAGATTATCCATCGTCCTGTCTTTATTCAAAAACATCATCCTCTTTTTTTTTTTTTCAAAACGTTTCGGAGATTGGATTCTGTCTCCGTCTACAGGTAAAGCCTACTCAGTTGGGACCAGTCAATAGAGCTAGTCCCTATCTCCGGACCTAACAGTCAACTGTATATTCCGATTTTCGTTAAAATCGGACCTGAAAATCTGCTCTCATCTCTTGAGTAAAATTCCTGAAATATTTGCAGGAGCGAAAAATTTTTCGACCAAAGTTACAGAAACACTTGCCATATTTTATACCCGTTATATTTTTCCATAACTGTTCCAGTTCTCGAGGTAATTAAACAAGAACTGTTACGCTATGCGAAAAATTCATAACTAGGCCTATATTCCGACAATCAGCATGCATATAATCATTGATGCTGACGCTCCCCTAACCACACACATAACAACAATCGGCAGTGGATCTTCGAACACACTTGCAAATTACCGAATTATTCTCGACAATAATTAAACGAAGGGTCCTCTCAACTGAATTTATAGATCTACAA